TAGTGAGTTTTAAGTGCTTTACTGAACTCATAAGCATGCAATTGAGGAGTAGGTGAAAAGCACTGAAGTATAAATAATAGCTAATGAAACCAAACAATATTTCAGTGCAAGATTTACTGTGAATGAACTGAAAAAAACCACAGGCATTACCTACGCTTCAGAGATTAAATGCTTTGAAATGTGCTGGTGCATCTAAAAGTGGGAACACCAGGAAGCATGCAAATTCTGGAGGACGGAAACAATTTCACAGAGACCTTTTTACTAGTCTCCCATTATATGAATTAAGCTATTCCCTCAGAAAGCTGGATGTAGTACTGTCATTCTCCATCACAATTGCTTCTGTTAATAAAGCTGATGGCAACGACAATCTCATCTCTCATACCTGATGCATCCTGCTATTTTTTTCCCCGATGTGTTAATGCCACATGTATTAATGCAACATTCTCCAAAAACCAAACATTCAGGAATCAGCCCTCCTTCTTCTCATTGCACTTATTCAACACAAGCTTGCAGCCTGCTGTGTTCTCAGGGATATTATACAGAGACTCTTGCATCTGGCAGATAGCTGGATTGGGGGAGATATCTTTGGTCTGAGTCCTGCTTTGTCTTTGCAGGGACAGTGGCAGGTGTTTGCTTGAGATATGCCATGGGCACAGACTGTCTGTGTCCCTCTTCTTGCTGGCTGTGATAAATCTGGATAAAAGGAGCAGCCTGTATCCAGACACCCTGGTACTGACAGCAGCCCAGCTTATGAGAAGTGACTCTTTGAGCCCCTTGATGGAAGTTTCCTGACTTGTGACAAGTGTGGGTCACCTCTGGGCGTAAACTGTGGGTTGGTTGCCACCCCAGAGCGGGTTTCATTGCACAGGAGGAAATACCTCTTGTTTTGAAGCTGGTCCTCCTGAGGCACTTCTGTTTGTGAGGCGTGGTGCTCAGCTGGGCGTTCATCACTGCCCACGGTGTGTCAAGCACAGACTTTCTCCCAGCAGTGCCAGTTGGCCCAGACAGTTCCTGGGAGCACAGAGCGTGTCTGCTGCACGTGTGTGGGGTAACATGCCCACACATGGCCTTGCACAGCTGCACGGATCGCAGTGAAGTCTCGAGAAAACAACACCCTGCAGGGTGACAGGAAATGTTCTTTGTAATCAAAATTGTGTTTAGAGATCAAGAAAATTTAGTTCTGTGTTCTAAAAAGAGGAAAAATCAATAGTATCTTGTAAAGGACCTGATAACTTCATCCTATACCTGCTTCTTTCTGCTCAGGTGGAGTTGCACATGCACGGTCCCTGTGAATTTGCAGCCAGCCAGTGAAGTCCCCACTGAAGGCCACTGCACGGGTACATGAATGTAAAAGAGCTCTCCAATGTGTTAGGAAATATGTAAGTGTTAGTAAATATGTGTTTGTACAGATGTTTATGAAAACTTACTGCAAAGTTGTACATCATGGTAACAAGTTTTTATAGATAAATTTCAACCTGTCCTGAGCTAAAATGTCCTTTGCTCTCTCTTCACCTTCTTCTCCTCAGGAAGATTTATCTTGACAGATTGGAGACATGTAGGGCTGCTTACTGAAACAGTTCTTAAATCTTGGTCTGCAGAAAGCACCTTTTGTGCTGGTTCCTCAACAAGTTTCTCATGAGATGGCTGGATTCCCTAGCCTCTGAACATAACTAGAATAAGAAAGGTACTAAAATGTAGATAAAATCCACCTGTTTGATGCAGAAAAAGAGATCAACAGAGAAGACTTCATTTAAATGAAAAGTAATGAAAACACACGAACATTAATACACTGTGCTGGGAAATTTTTCAAAATGTCTCATAAACAGTTTACTCAACACCAAGGTACTGTGCTTGGAAGTCTAGCTTTTTATTTCTGATTAGTGCTGTCACCACCACTTTCCCTTTCTCTATTCCTGATGCAATCCATAGAGATAACAACTGTCTCTAGCTCTGTTTATGTTGCCTGGAAGTGGGAACCAAATGCTTGTGTCGATGAGAACCTGCTGAAAATGGATTATTGCCAAGAGAATTAACATAGCACCCTAAGTAAGAAAACAGGAACTTGGATATAGAATTGTTTATGCATGGTTGTGTCTCTTTCTTTGTTTGTTTTAGTTGCAGTGAAGAGTGACTATAGAATACTTTGTACTGCTAAACTTGTATACAAGATTTCTCAAGGCATCTGTAAATCTTTAAATCTCAATGATGATGATTAAGCTTCTGGAAGAAATTGAAAATATTGTTCAAAATGTGTGCCAAAACTGATTCTGTTATAGAGCTGGATGCTTCTGTCCTGGTTTTCTACCAGCTCTATTCAGCACAGAAAGTTGGTCTGTAACTGGTGTCCCAGCATCATCTCTACTGGTGAAAACATTCCCACCAGGCAGGGCCACTTCAGCAGAGGCTGGTGAGCTCCTGGACAGCCTGACCTCTTGGGCCTGGTGAGCAGATTTGCCTTCAGTCCCAACAAATGACTGCTCTTATTAACTGATAGGACTTTTTCTAACCATGACATCTAAACACTTTGTAGTTCTAATTCAGTGTTTGAGAGTGCTTTTGGGGGGGAATTTATGAACTCTTTGGTGCTCTCCTCTCTTTAAACAAAGGAATTAAGTGTGAGATATTGTTTAAAGGTCTGTGTGCTTGGCACACTGACAGAAAAACTTCAGTGGCTGTGGCACTTTGTCTTATTCTAACATGCTGCATCCTGTAGTGATAGTGGTTTCTAGTTTCAGAAACAGTCTTCCCTGGGTATCTCTGAAAGGTTTCCTCTAGGCCTGCTGAAAAATGGATTTCAACAAAGAAGGGAAAAAGAAGAATGGAGAAGAGAAATTCTGTTGGCTGGTTTTCACAAGAATGAAAGTTTGGCAAATGAGGTCCAAAGCACTGTAAGGAAAAGAGATGTGAGGTAAGTGCTCACAGATGCTACCAGACCTACACTGTTCCTCAGCCAGGAAATACTGCTGCTCCACATGGGCTTACATCAAACACCACAGAGGGCACAGCAGAGTGATCTGTGAGGTCCTAAAGTCTGAATCATATTCTCCCCCAGCTGACACATCTCCTATCATTCAAGTTTACTGGCTGAAAAGGAGTGTTTTAGACCCACATAAACTGAGTCACCTCATGCTACCTGTAAAGCATTGCATGTGTTTCCTTAATTATAGAGTGCTCTTGGTTCTGCCTTGTGTTAGGCTCTTCAAAATCAGGTGACACAGACATGACCTGTCTTCTGGGCTAGGTGGGTGACTTGGTCTTTCAATACAGGACAACGTCACCCCTTTCACCACCTGCTCTGTGCCCCAGTCTCTGAGAAGGCAGATCTGCCCTGTACCTGGCTCCTGAAGGATGGGGTGGGGTGTGCTGTGCCACAGGCAGCAAGAGCTGCTCTGTGAAAAGCCCCCCTATTCCCCCAAAGCAGCACTCCACATGTAAGTCATGCCACTTGTGCATGGGCAGGGGTGTCTGCCGTGTGGTCCCAGGAGGGATGGCTGGCTCTGGCAGGTGGCCTCTCACTGAGGCCTCATTCCTTGCATTGCTGCTGCCTGGGAGCTCTGCAAATGCTTCCCATGCCACTGCCTTCATCTGGCAAGGGAGTAATAAAACACAACAGGCCCAATAATACCAAATTCAGTCAAAGGACCCAACCCAGACCTCCAGTGCCTTTCCAGCCACTAAGGGTGCCCTCTTAGTGCCCTGTGGCAAATTAGGTCTTGTCTCACTGTTGTTCAAGCAGCTGCTTAGTGCCACAATCTTAGGTCACATCTAGGAGACATCTCTGCATTTCCTAGCTGGCTTGGCAACATCAGAGTCCAGAGAAAACATCCTCATCTGGGCCTACAGGTGTGAGAGTCTTGTTGCTTTCTTGGGTAATGCCAGAAAAATAGCAACCCTCAGTACCCATGGAGAGGCACCTCTTCTGAATTATATATTCAGACCTGAGGAAGGACCAGGCTCAGGCTACATGTTCTTTTATAGTCTCATCCCCAAGACAAGTGTGGTGTCCTGGGGTTAAGCTCTGGGACCCCTCAGGGGACAGTCACAGACCTGCAGGACCTGTGGTGCCTGAGATGACTACTTGCTGGTGGCCAGTGGCAAGGTGGGTGCAGGCAAGTCCCTGCTGCTCTTATTGCCAGTTTTGCCTGTTTTTTATCTTGATGGGGTTTTGGTTTGTTAGGGTTTGGTTTTGGTTTGGGGTTTTTTTTAATTTGTTTTGGTGGGCATTGTTTGTTTGGGGTTTTGCTTGGTTTTTTTTTCTTTCTTTGGGTTTTTTGTTTGTTTGTTTGTTTGGGGGTTTTTAATTTGTTTTCTTTTGGTTTTGTGGTTTTTTTGGTGGTAGTGGTACTTTTTTTTTTTTTTTAATCAGGCTTGCCTCAGGCTGGCAGGCACTACAGAGCTTGTGGAAATACCGCGAAAGCAGGAGATTCCACCCCCTGGTTTCCAAAACGACCACTACAGCTACTCCCGCGTTTCACCCCTGCTTTTGCAATCCGCAAGGAAGAGGATGCTGTGCCGCCTGCGCCCCGGGCCCTGCCGCACGGGGAGGTTCTGCCCTTTGTCCCTTGGCTGCAGGCGCGGGTCCCGCCGCCCCGAGCGGAGCGGGCCCGGTCTCACGGGTGCCCCGAACTGACCCGGAGCGCTCCTCGCTCCCCGCTGCCTCCTCTTCTCACGGCGGCATCTGCCTCTGTCATTGCCGCTGTGAAGCAGGGAAGGACTCCTGGACCTGCCGGTGTTCCCAGGGCGACTGGGATAATAGGGCTGACGGTGGTTCCTAACAAGGGGCAGTGCCACCCCTCTGGTCGGTGTCACCAGCTGAGCTGATATAAAAGAAAGAGAGGATGCTTACTGTCTGTGGGGAGCTGCTGGTGTGCCCTCTCCTGGCTGCTGAGGCAGACAAGCTGTTTGGCACTGATTATCTCTCTGCTAACTTTTAATTCCAGCCTGGGCAGGCAATCGTCACAATTCCAGCTAAAAAGTACTTCTGCTGGCAGTGAGTAGTCATGAATATGTCTCACCTAAAGAACAGAGCTGAGAGCCACTTTAAAGTATCGGAGGTGCATGAACTGGAGACAGTGGGGAAGAAAGCTTGGGACAATCCTGTTTACAACGGCTCTCCCTCTACCTCCTTGAAAATTCAAACCATCTACAACCCCAAACCTGTCCTGGAGGATCCCTACGAGAATTTTGAAGAGGTTGGGGATGCGCTGCCCTACCAGGAAGAACAGAGCAAATCTGTGAATGGGAAGACAAGTCCTTTCCTCAAGTGCTGCTTCTACATCTTCCGAGGCATCCGAGGTAAATCTCTATCACATTAGAAGGGACTTATTAGCCCTCAGAGCAATGGTGAGGGGAGGAAGAGAAGGGATGCAGATGGCAAAAACCTCATAGTGTCTGTGTAGCCCAGGGACCTGTTCAACATGCAGTAGCATTACTCCAGAGATCATATTTGGCTGACCTGAAGGAGCATCATTGGTCTGTGTGCCTCGCTGTAGCTTCATGGTCTGTCCTCTTACCTTTACCATAAGATAAGAGACTTAGTGGGTCTCATGCTCAAGGTCATGCAGTGAATCTGTTGGCAGATCTTAGGTGCTCTGAATCCCCAGAAGCCATCACTGTGGTGGTGAGACTATTCTGTCTCTGTGTGTATTTTCTAGATAGAATGGTATTGGCCCCTGTGCTACAGTAGCATAAGAACTTATAGCCCTATCTACCAGAGAAAATCTAGCACTGTCAGGACTGAAATGTAGGGGATTACAGCAATGTGTCAAATAATGTTTTGCTTGAAGATAGCTGAAAGAGGTGCTGTTTTCCAGTTTAAAAGACAAAGGGGAATAAAATATTATGTAGGCTTATTCAGAGGCAAACAAAACCCTGGGGGCAAGATAAGTCTCCTGTCAGAATACAGTCCTGGGTAAGGGCATTATTTGAACAGTTTCTTATAGAAGGCATAAAATCACAATATTTTAAAAACAGGAAAGATAAAGCAAAGAAAAAAATTTCTTGCCAATGTGTCTTTTTTTTTTTCTCACTTGGAAGGTAAGAACCCCTCTCAGAGCCATACCCTCTAACAGCATGAGTGGGTGAATAACAGTACAGTTTGGTCCTGAATTGCACAGCCCCTCTGTGATCAATGCTTTTGCCATTGCCATTACAGTCTAACACTACTATTTCACGTGGAATTCAGAACAGAGGCTTTAGACTTTTCTCCTGGCCAAGGAAGAGTGCTGAGTGGGTTTGGTAGCTAATTACAGATTACTCTTAGGCAGTGTATCATTTACCTGGTTTATTCTGAAATGCTTTCTTCTAGGCATTGTTTGAGACTTAAAATGGAAAACCATATCCATACTTTAACATCAAATTTCCATTTGTGATCTGCCAGAGTTGAATTTGGAGCATGCAAATGATGGTAACTGTCAAGATACCACATCATTTTCTTCTTCTGACTGTTGCAGCAGCGTGTCCTGACACTAAGGGTGGTAAATAGGGCTGAAGGAAATACCAAAGCTGGGAATCCAAAGGCCAGTGCAGACAGACCAAAGGTCTCTTTGAGCCTCAAATCCTTTTTCCTTGAAGGATTTGCTTCCTTCCTTTGCATCTTTACTAGGTGCTCATCATTTTTCATTGCCTCTCCATTGCTGGCTTTTCTCTTTCCATTTAATCACCTTGGTGTCTCACACGGAAAATAGAAGTAGTACATATAAGTTAGTTAAACAATGAGAGTTTAAGAGGTTGGGTTTTTTGCTTAAAAACCATTTCCTGGGATTACATGTCCATAGCTAGAGGCAATAGTTGGATTATTAAGCTTTTTTCTTGTCCTCATCAGTTACTGTGCTGGGTTAGTAGTGAGTAGCTGCTGCACCTGGTGCCACTGCTCAGGACTGTTCCTCTCTAAGCAGTGTCCAAGCAGCTCTGTGTCCTGGTTCCTGCCTGCCTCCTGCCACCTCTGCTGGTTCATGGCCAGCCCATGGGCAGACGTGGCTGGGTATCTGGGTGTATGGTGGTTGATGAGGAGTACCCAACTTCCCACTGCCTTTGGAAGAGGATCTCCAGCTGTACCTGAGATCGTGAGCTAGTCACTCACCTGGGTTACAAGTCTGGTGATAATGTAGGTGTTGCCAGTAATTCTTATCAGTTACTTGTTAACTATCATTAACTATCAGGAAGGTGAGACTTATAAATGGATTGCATTCATAGCCTGTTTTCTAGGTTCTGTTATTTTTTCTTTGCTCAGACATGTGGGTTCTGGGTGGTCATTCAAGGTGCCATAAGGAAGACTGGATACCTTCTAGCCTTGAGTCCTTCTACTCCAAATGTCATGTCCAAAATAGCTGCATCCCCAAGGGGGTAGGTGGTGCCAAAGGAGACACAGATGGGGACATGCTTCATGTATGAGGTGATAGATCTCCCTGGCATGTTTCCTAAAGACATAGCTGAAAATAAACCTCAGCTGATGCAGTATTACAACTAACGCAATCTGGAAGGACTGGAGCAGCCTCATGGTCCTCCAGGTATCATTTTGGGCAAGAGTCTGAACCAAGTTCTCAAGGATATTAGAGTCTTCTTGAATTTGGGTGTTCCTTCCGTACACTACTGTTCTAAAAGTAAAGAAAGCCTGTGCATTTGCTCCAAACATATGGATAGTAGGGGTTTCCTGCTTATGGAAAAAATCCCAAACAAACCTCTTAAAAGATTGTGGTGTAGTCATATCTAAGGATGAAGGTAGTAATTTAAAAGTGATTTTTGTCCATTGTGAAGATTCCTGTAGATCACATGATACTTTCTCCTCCTCAGGAGTTAGTCCAGATCATCTCCAGGCTGTCATTTCTGTTGCTGGTCTGGATTGTCCAGAACAGGCTCCTGGTTTGTCTGTCCAGATGTGATGGCAGATGCTGCAACATCACTATGGTCACTACGGTAGTTAATGGTGCAGAAAACTGTCTAATCTCTTGAGATGCCAAAGAGCTATCAAAATGACAGGATAAATGCACACAGACCACTAGAACACTTTTGCTTACTCCAGACAAAAAAGAAGTTTGTATCTGCCGGAGATGACTTCAAGTGTGGGGCCTTTGATCAGCTTTGATCCTGGTTTGCAGGAAGAAGGTTGTTTCATCCCACTGGGGATAGGAATCAAGGCTGAGCTCTCTAGGAGCTGCAAAAAGCAGCAAGACCATGGCAATTATTGACAAGGCTTTCATCACCAGGCTTTCAATTGAAAGTTCTTATGCCTTTCAACTTCAGGAGCATTCCAGAAATCACAACAGAAAGCCATTACAAAAAGAACAAGCAAATACACTAATGGTATTAGGTGGTTCATCAAACACAAAATATCAAGGCTTCTTTTAAAGGAAGCATTTCTGTCTTATTGACGACCCTGGTGACATTTAATGAGTTGTGTGAAGAAATAGGATCTTTAGCTGGTGCAATTAGTGCATTGGATTCAGCTAAGCTCCATTGTTAGATGTCCTGAAGATAACTTGGCTCTAAATGTTGTGCTGAAAATACTGAGTTGTGTTATTTGATTGAGTTTTATGACCAATAAGAAAACTGCAAAGGTTTTTAGGTAATCAAGAGACAAATATTTGGAGCCTAATGGTTCAGTATACAATAAAAGGAGTAATAGTTGTAAAGCTAACACCAGATGCAGTTCTGCAATGAAAGACCTCTCAGAAAGTCAGCTGTTGGCACATGGGTGACTGAGATGAAATATTATGGTTTCAAGAGCATTTGTGACAAAGACTGAACTTCTGCAAAGAGTAAGCTGAAACACAGTCAGGAAAAGATCAGGCTATAATGAACTGAAAACAGAAGAAACATAAAACTAAATAGTGATTTAGCAAAATAAAAATCCAGTATATTTCAGTGTTGGTTAGCTAAAAATCTTTTATGCATGCTGAAATGGTTCTTCTTAGGGGTATTTAGCAAATGTTTTTAGTCAGGTTTTGAAATGAAAAGTGACTTGGCCTCAAAAAGCCACAAAACTTCAACTCCCAACTGTGCTTTTTTGGAACAGGACTACAGCTCCTCACATGGCTGTTGAGAATGGCCATGAAAAATTCTACAGTTCCTTCTTTATATCCAACAGGTCTGTGGGGCACTACGCTGACTGAGAACACAGCTGAAAACAGGGAGCTGTATGTGAAGACCACCCTGCGAGAACTGCTGGTCTATGTTATGTTCTTGGTGGACATCTGTCTCTGTAAGTAGCTGTCATATCTCATAGGCACCATTTCTGTGTGCAGCATGAGGGGAATAATGTGAGATTTTATTACTAGTCTTCCTTGCTCTGCTGTAAATGTTACACATTTATTGTATGGGTGCTCACAGCAGCAAGAAGTTGTCATTAACTTACAGAATTGATGCTGCACAGAGAAGTAAAATTACTGACCCGTGCTAACTGATGCTGGTTAGACTTAAGCAGTGCTTTCTGATTGGCATAATCAGTTCTAGCCACTAATTCCACAGTCCTAGGAGAATCTGCCCAAGGTCTTTTCTCAGTTTCTCAGCAAATGCTCAACCCCCAGAGAGTAGCTCTAGAAACTTGCTGGTAGCAAAGACAATTCAGGGAGATTTTCCCCTCTGAGACTGGATGGGTGGCTGAGGCGATAAAGCAGATGACAGCTCACCCTGTTGTTATTGAGTGAGTGTAATGTGTTCCTGTAGTGAATGGCAATGCTAATATGGACTTTGTGTCAGTAGGACAATGGCTGTTTGGCTCTGCTAAGGTTCATTCCTTATCACCAGTGAGCACCTGTGGCATGGGACAGTGAGGAGGGTTATATTTCATGGGCCCAACAGCAGGAGAGATGGACAGACAATACCACCCTAAGTTACTATCATGCTGTGCCAGGGAGACAGTGCTTCAGTCACTCTTCCTAAAGAACCAAGACACGCACAGGGACGTACGCGTTGTCGCACACAGACGTACGTGTTGTCATACACTGACTCATCCACGAGGTGTGGGGGCTTGTGTCTTGAATGTCAGGTGCTTTATTCTCCTGGTGTCCTTTCAAGAGTAGGACATGTTCTTAGTGATCACCATGATGGATGTTTTCCTGAAGGAAGGAGCACTGGAGAGTTGAAACAACATGTTTGTGGAAGTTAGAGCCTGCTCCTCTTGGGGTTTCTTGGTAGATGAAAACTTACCTGGAGCTTTTCACTTGGGAAAATAAGATGGTCTTTGTGCCTTCATGACTTCACATCAGAAATTCAAAATACAGGTCATGGACTTTGTTCTGAGAAATAAAATTTCCCTCAGAAATTCTGTCTGGGAACAAAAACTGTTATCCAGAATGTTCAGTTGTATCCTCCAATGGTCTTCTCTTACAACTTAACTCTTACATTTGGTCAGTCTGACAATTTAAACTCTGCAACACAGAGCAGATAAGGTTGTAAATCTCTAAGAAAGCAGAAAGCCCTAAAATTTATTCTCCTGTGTCTTGTTCAGCTTACCTGTGAAAATATAAGGTACACAGAAAGTGAATATATAAATGCAGGTATATCAGGTGCCAGTATTCAGGTATAAGAAAGGACCCTCCTCTTGTTCTCTTAGTGACATATGGAATGACAAGTTCCAATGCCTATTACTACACCAAAGTGATGTCTGAGCTCTTCCTGCAGACCTCTACAGATGGCCGTGTCTCCTTCCAGTCCATCAGCAGCATGGCTGACTTCTGGGTGGTGAGTACCAATCTGGCCTGCCATGGGAACCCTGAAGCTCAGCTGGACTGGGATATTCAGTTCCCTCTGAAGTACTATCTAGTGATTTCAGCAGACGTTTTGCTGCCACAAGCTTTTGCCAGCTACTAGCAATAGTCACAATAACATTTGCATTCAAAATATTAACTCATTTCAAGTATAGTGTATCCCTGAGCACTGTGTCCAGAATACTGGCTAGGCTAAGATTTGTGTGTGCCCAGAAGAGTCCATTTCTCAGTAAAACAGGCAGGACATAAAAAAAATAATTTTGGTGATATTGCACAGATAGGAAGTACTGGTCTAGAGAAGCCAAGGGATTTACTTCAGATTTCCTTGTGACACAAGTGGATTTGAATCCTAGAGTTCAATGTCTTCAAGCTGGTGTCTTAGTAATAGGCCATGTCCATTTTCATGATATTTTGAGAACATCAAAATTAACCTGCCTGTAATTCATGCCTGGGCTTGTCTAATCTATAGATTCTTTAGGAAGAAGCTGGATTAAAATTTGCAGTGACTTTTATCAAAGAGAATGAAGGGGACAAACATCTGGGTTCTAACATATTTCTGTGAAAGAATGGGTGAAAGAATAACAAGAGCCTCAGTGAAGGCCATTGAGGTATTGCAACCACTTATCTCTGACAGCCAGAAGTTATTTGTCAATTAGAGTTGCCTTTTTCTGTCACATTAAAACACTCCAGCCAACAATGGCCCTATTGTTTCCCCACCACTGTTTCCAGGACACTGGCACACGCACTTTTCATCATTCACAACTTGTGCCAAGGCAGTTCCTTGAGACTTGTGCTGACTGAAGTAGAAGAGACAATGAGACTTGTAGGGCTTTTGTCTCTTCATTAGGCACAGAAGGTGCCACAGACACATTACAGGCCTGTGAGAAACCAATGATGACCCTGCTGCCCAGCATCCCTCCTCTACCACCAGCCCTGGTCTTTCTTCTCGTTAATGTACACGCAACACAAACTTTGGCTACTTTCCATCTTGGGGACCAGAGAGTGGTGGGTCAGGTCTCACTACCTCAATCCCAGACTAAGAGAATGTGTGAGCTACAAAGGAGTTGTTCTCTGCCTCCTTTGCAGTATGCACAGGGTCCCCTGCTGGACAACCTGTACTGGACCAAGTGGTACAACAACGAGTCGCTGGCGGCGCACAGCACGCAGTCATACATCTATTACGAGAACCTGCTGCTGGGTGTCCCACGCATGAGGCAGCTGAAAGTGAAGAACAACTCCTGTGTGGTCCACGATGACTTCAAGGAGGAAATCTCTGGCTGCTATGATGTATACTCTGAAGACAAGGAGGAAAGGGTCTCCTTTGGGCTCCTCAATGGAACGGCGTAAGTACATCTAATCCAAACGAGTCTCTTCTCGTTCAAATAAGAACTGCTGAGCTGCAGGACGCCGGGGGTGAGTTTCTCACATAAGGCTGGAATTACCCTTGCAGTCAGAGGCAGAAATTCCTTTTTGTCTATCAATAATGTCTAGTGTCTTTTTGGGGGAAGTACAATAGAATGAGTTTTCATGTTGGGAAAGCCATGAAAAAATACAGTGGGAATATAGGAAGAAATTGTTGCCTATTTTTAAGAGAGTGAGAATAAATGAAGACCTTTGGGACCAGATCCATTAAATGGCAAGCTGGCATTTAGCTGGCAAGTTACTATTTGCTTTCCTCTGGGATTTCAGGAGCCAGAGAAAAGGGAGTGCAATTCTTTCATCTTGACAACCTATTTCTCTATAATAATGTGAGGTAACTGCAGTTTAATATCTCTGCTCACTTCTCTCTGTGTGAATCTTGATCCATGAATGAGAAGCTATTATTCATTAGGAAATACGAGTACAAGAGCATTCTAAGCAGATGGCTGTGTAGGATGTGGTAGAAGGTAAGAGAGTAGATGCTGAGAATAACCTCCATGAAAACAAGACTGATATAGCCAACAAACCTCAGCATTTTCCCTCCATAGTATTGCAAACCATGTTGTGTCACTGTTGGGAAGCACTAAACCAGAAAACTAACCATAATGGTTATCAGTATTACGTAGGGTCAGATCAGGAGTAGGAATTAAGTGCCAATTCTTCAATTGCTTCAATTGAAAACTGCTCTGCCCCTTGAAGATATATTTTTTTCCAGGGCACAAGGCCATATTCAAGCCTGGGCAGATGAAGCCTTTCTTTGTGCCTTGTCTGTTGCAGGTGGAGGTACCATTCTGAGGAGGAGCTGGGTGGTTCATCTCACTGGGGAAGACTAACCAGTTACAGTGGGGGAGGATACTACATAGACCTCAAGATGACCAGAGAAGAGAGTGCTGAAGCCCTGCAGGTCTTGAAGGAGAAACTGTGGCTGGATCGGGGAACACGAGTTGTCTTTATTGATTTCTCTGTGTATAATGCAAATATCAATCTGTTCTGTGTTCTGAGGTAAGCTGAGTCCAGATGAAAATTCTTCAGCCTCTTGCATCTTCCTCAGTGCCTCAATTTATTTCTCAAAATACAAATATTTTATTATGGTCCACCAGTGGGGTAGTGACCACCCCTCCACTACTGCTGAGTGATGTCAGTAGAATTTGCATGGTTTAGTGAGAAGTCTTGGTCTTCCTGAAATAACCAGTCACACTTCTTTTCACCTTTTACCCTTTCCTATCACAGGCAGTGAAGCAGCAGAGACATGGCTGCACAAACACATACACAATGCTTCCACTCATGGTGTGGTGGATAGTTCATGCTCAATTTGATTCCTCTCAAAATTATCTCTGAGCTTCCATCCCCTAGTTTGAAATTGTTTCCTTGTCCCCTTCAAGGTTAGTGGTTGAGTTTCCAGCCACTGGTGGTGCCATTCCCTCCTGGCAAATCCGGACAGTGAAGCTTATACGATATGTCAGCACATGGGACTTCTTCATTGTTGCCTGTGAAATTGTATTCTGTGTCTTCATCTTCTACTATGTGGTGGAAGAGGCTTTGGAGCTCCATATCCACAAGTTTAAGTACTTCACCAGCATCTGGAACATTCTGGATGTGGTTGTCATTCTGGTGAGGATCCTTGCTCACTTTTTGGGGGAGGAATGGCAGGAGTGTGTAAGAACCAAAATAAATGAAGGAAAGTGGAAATTATTCTAGATAAGAACTGGCACATGTTTTGCTCTAATACTAAAATGAACAGCAGAGTAAATGGACACCATGCTCTTCTGTCTGGAAGAACTGCTAGGAGAAAATTCTTACAGATGCCCAAGAGACTGAAGTCAGGGTATCATTCAGCACATCAAGACCATATTTTCATAGCCCACCACTAGACTGAAGCTCTGAAGTGGGATTGCAATGAGTTCTGTGACATTTAATTTCCATGGAAAGCACAGAAACAGCGATTACTGCAGACTACTCCTCTTCCTCTTTGCAGCTCTCCATTGTTGCCATTGGGTTTCACATCTTTCGTACCACTGAGGTGAACAGGCTGCTGGGAGAACTGCTGGAGCACCCCAACACCTACGCAGACTTTGAATTCCTGGCGTTCTGGCAGACCCAGTACAACAATATGAATGCAGTCAACTTATTTTTTGCCTGGATCAAGGTACTGTAGGGGATCTGGGAGGTGCCAGGTCTCCAGTCAGGCCTCTCTTTCTGGATAGCTTGAGGGTTGTCTCTTCCATCCCTCTGAGTAAATGAGTGTAACAGCTATAGAACAGAGAATTTTCCTTGAAGTCACATGCTCTGTTTTGCAGTTAATCTGGGCAACTTTTCACCCTTCATTCTGGGATCAGTCATTCAGAAGTAACAGTCAGGGATATGAGTTCAGACACTGTGGTGTAAAAGTGGTTTTAGAAAATGCTGAGTACCATGTAACATCCTATACTGTTTTGGCATTCTTGAGGATAATCTGCAAACCATATTTTTTTCCATTATGATCATTCAAGAGCTGGAAATGACTCATCTGTTGACATGGACTTTGCATTTCAGCTAAAGCGTCTTGGTGTGGCAGAAAGCCACCAAGGGGCTCCTCATCGGCCTTAAGAGATTTGTTCTTGTAGCAGTCGCTGTTTTTATTTTCCTTTGACAAAGGGAACAAAGTCATATGTTTATGAACCCAGATAAGGATGGTGGCACACCTGGGATAACTGTCCTGAAGACTAAGCCACCATTCCCTAGCCACTTTTCTCTTCAGTACTTTGGTCCTGTAGTGAACCTCTTGTCTTAGTAAGCATGTGCATGCATGAGAGGGACTGACCTAGCTGATGGTTTGGCCTAACTTTGTCCCCATTCTTCCATCCTGCAGATATTCAAGTACATTAGCTTTAACAAAACAATGACCCAGCTCTCCTCCACACTGGCACGTTGTGCTAAGGACATCCTGGGCTTTGCCATCATGTTCTTCATTGTCTTCTTTGCCTACGCCCAGCTGGGTTACCTTCTTTTTGGGACACAAGTGGAAAACTTCAGTACCTTTGTTAAATGCATGTAAGTGTGTAAGCTAGTACTGTGTTTCCATAATTTTATCAAAATAATTTTAGCTGCTTTCCACTCTTCCCCCCAGTTGCAAATCTCAATGACAATCAGACACCTGTTGTATCTCATTGTAATAAAGCCACAAGGGTTAATAAGTTGCTCACAGCCTTCTGGTTGTGACTGACATCTTCATGGACAAAAGAATACAATAAGAAAACTGAGGGCTACAGGCAGATTTCTGTTTGTCTGGTGTTTATCAGTAAGGACAAGAGATATGGTGGATATTGGTAAGGATATCTATTTCCATAGAAATCCCACAGATACTGATCAATATATCTGAGATGGAGGTGGGTGCATGAGCACACGTGGAAGGAAAGGAGTGTTGGGGAAGTGAGTTAAAATCCCATCTCAGACAATCCTGCAGTCCATGGGCCTGCTCAAGTAATGTGCAATGTTAATGGAGGTATCTGCTACAGCAATGGTTTTCAGCTTGTGTCCCACAGACCTCTGGGCATCCAAGTCCTGCCTTTGAAGGGTCTACAAGAGAAAACAGAGATGAGGAAGCTTGGGATCAATACACTTAAACACCCATCATTATAGGGGCTATGAACTACAAAAGGTTGAAGAGCACTATCCAGTTCTAATGTCTGGATAGTGCTCTTCAGAGTCTCACCAACTTTCTTGCAAGAGATGGCTTCACTGAGTCAAATGCCTTTAATCAAGGAAAATTCAGATTGTTTTGGTTTTGACTCCTATTTATACCAAAACACACTTCGGACTACCTGAATTTGTGTGGAAACCATGTTTTATTTTCCTCTTGCTCTAACCAGATCAGCTTGCTTCACTCCTGAAATACTATGGATGCCTTTAACTTGCCACTCTGGAGTGACTTAGACCCTGCTCTGGTTTGTGCCTGTGCCCATCTGGGCTGCAGGGAGGTTCAGGTTCACCTCAGGACTGTTTGTGTATGCCTTTGTGTGACCCTGTGCTCTTTCTTTCCCCCAGTTTCACCCAGTTTCGGATCATTCTTGGTGATTTTGACTACAATTCCATTGACAATGCCAACAGGGTGCTTGGGCCTCTTTACTTTGTCACCTATGTGTTCTTTGTTTTCTTTGTGCTTCTGGTAAGCAACAAAGTCCTCCTTGTCCCTGTATTGAAAGCAGTGTTTGAGAGACCCCTCCTGACAATCCCTGGGTTAGGTGAAAATGCTTAGAAAAGAAGTTTCAGTTACAATAGCTTTGCAGTGCAAATAGACCACAGTAGGTAAAGAATGTGTTACTACAAGTGGGGATTTGCTTATTTAGGGTGATTAAGGGCCAACATCTCTTAAGGTGAAAACTGAAACTGACTGGCTTCCTAGGCAATGGATGCAGAGGAATGTTCATAATAACCAGGTTAAACACTCAGTGTCAGAAGTCCATATGTAACCTAAGATTTTGCAAGAGAAACTACCAAAGGTAGTATTTGAGGTGGGAACAAATGTACTTTCAGCCACTGCTTTAACTGCAAAAACTTTAGAAAACATGGTGTGGCTGAAGTAGGCCTTTTCTTGACCCTCTTTAATTTGCCCAAGAGATATCCCATAGGGAAACAACTCCTTGTTTAACTAAGTCTTGCACATCTGTGTCTGTTTCTTGCTGTTTCAGCTGCTGGAGCAGGCAGGATGTCTCATGCATGTTCATCTCACTGCTTCCCCTTTTCCTAGAACATGTTCCTGGCCATCATCAATGACACCTACTCAGAAGTCAAGGAGGAGCTTTCGAGCCAGAAGGATGAGCTGCAGCTCTCTGACATCTTGAAGCAGGTGATGACTAGTGAAAGCTGTGCTACTTTCTAGCTAAATCATGAAGCATTTTTTGGAAGTCCCTGACCTAAGTGGAATTTACTAGAGAGAAACAGTGGTTGCCAATCCAGATCCCCCTTCTTAGTGTGCACAAGAGTCGCAATTCCTTTCTGGGATAAATCAAGCTCCCAGACCCTTTGGCAATGGGAAGATGAGAATGCAAGTATTGGGTGAATCCTGCTATTTGATGTAGTGTTTCTGAGAGACTTTTCTTCCCAGTGTGGTCTGTAGACAAAGCTCTTTCAGTCCTTCATAAAATGTACTTTGATTGATAACATGGCAAGTCCTGCTGTGCTAAGTTGAGCCTGTTACAGTGGCACAATTCTAGCAGGTTAAATCTGTCTGTCCCATGGGCAAATTGCAGAAAAGTTCCTGGAAGGTCACAATTCTGCTGTGAGATCAATATTCTACAAGGAATAGTATTTGAGCTGATGTGTTGGGAAATCAGATAAAGGAAGAACTGGGGTGAGAAAAGCAGAAGATTAGCATGTTAGTGTCACTTTGAAGGTGTGATTCTAGTTTGGAAATGAAGTTTATACTGCAGTGCTTTATTTTTTGCTTGTGGAGAGCTTGAAAACTCCTGCTATTACTTAGCATATGCTCACCTGTATCACACTGCCCACTCCGCTCTACTTTTCACTGTTCTGTGTGCATGATTCTGTGTCTGTGGCTTTGGTCACAGAGCTACAACCGGACACTCACGAGGCTGAAGCTGAAGAAAGAGCGGATTTCTGATGTGCAGAAAGCCCTGCAGAATGGAACAACACAACTGGACTTTGAAGACTTCAAGAACAGCTTGAAGGAGTAAGTGAGTCAGTTTGAGGGATGTCCACTTAGTCCTTTCTTTTAGTAATACAGGTAATTTAAATTTTCTGCTTTTCAAGACAAGAAGAGCGATTAGCTCAGATCTGGGCAATTTAAGATTAAACAAAAATTATCTTTCCTCAAATATTTAATTTCCTGTTCTAAATAGGTTTGTATAACTATCTCTTGCCCATTTGGGATGTTTAGGTTTATCAGTGGCAGGAGGAAACAATACACTGATTTCAAAATTCCCACTCTGTTACAGCTTAACTGTATAATTCTATGCTTTGAGCTTTCTCTTTCTATTCTTTTGCAGACTGGGCCATGCAGACCATGAGATCACAGCAGCTTTCTCCAGATTTGACAAAGATGGCAACCGCATCCTTGACAAAGAGGAGCAACAGCAGATGAAGCATGACCTAGAGGCAAAAAGGGTAAAAAAAATGGGCAAGGAAAAAAAAAATTTCTGTTTGGCAGACATCACTTCAAAGTGGCCTCGGGAATCTTTGGGTTTATGGTATGAACTAAGCAGGCAACTAAAATATAGTTCCAACTCCACCTGCACGCAGCTGAGTGTATTGTTGCCTGTGAAGCTCGTGTGTCATTGACAGTAAAGCCAGCCACAGAATTAGTATCCATATTTGCAGGAGTTTCTTTGTTTTCCAGGTTGCTCTGAATACAGAGATTGAAAATTTGGGGAAATCCTATGCTGACAACAACCTGGATGAGAATCTGACCTACATGGAAGCAAGGAATAACCACAGCAATAAGGCCACCTGGGTCTCCAAAGAAGAGTTCCAAGTGTATGTTTGTGCTATCAGTAGTTTAAACACCCAGCAGATGAGGGGTCCAATTTCCTGCTGCTTCCTTCCCTGATGTAACTCTTTACAGTGATGCTGAGCAGTTTCAGTAAGATCTTGTCCCTTTTATCTTGCACATGTGTAAATAAGCAGGTCAGGAGATACCTGGGACTGTCCTAGTAATGTAGTTTACTTCTTCCTGTAAAAGACTCAATTAAGGAATTTTGCTTTCTGCCTCTTGATTAACCTCTTCAGCTGTCATCTAGCCACAGGCAATATGCTGGCATGTTTCAGGTCAGAAGGTGGCCCAAATAACTGGGTGAGGGAAAGCTGGTACCTTTACAGAATGTCCTGTAGCAATAAATATCCTTGATTTATAGCCTAGTTGGCCTTTATCCTTCAGTTCCAAGAGCAACACTTGGCTATTTTCTTCATAGGAGGAGCACAGGATAAACACAGCAGAGTGAATCAGTATATCTTGATTCTGCTACTGAGAAACACTGAGAAAACCACATAGGGCCATATCAAAGGAGAGGCAGGTGCAATATTTAATAATGGAATTATGCTGTGTCTAGATCCATCCTAAAGAGAACCACTGATTACAGATGAAAACACAGTGTAGCAGTAGGTGACATAATCAGTGATCTGGGAGCATGCACTTCTATTTGAGGTCTCTGGGAGATGCCTGCAGCAAATCCCTTGACTCATCACAGGAAAAAGCTTACAAATGCTCTCCATGTCTCCCTCAGCCTCCTGCATCGTGTGCTGCAGCTGGAACAGTCCATAAACAGCATTGGCTACAAGATTGATGCAGTGGTGACCAAGCTTGCTGTGCCAGAAAGAAAAGAGCTGAAGAAGAAGGATCTGTTGGGCAAACCACTGGGTGATGTTAGCAAGGTTGGTAGCCCTCCACCATGCATTTGAACCAGCTTCAGATCGGGTGACTAGCTCTGCTGGGAGAAAGGGCCTGGTATCATCTTTGCTTTTCCAATCTTCATTGACTTCAGATAAAAAGGCTTGGGCAGGGTGTACGATCAGTCCTTTTCTGTTTAAGCTAAATGACATAAAGCCTCTTGCTTTCATGTCCCCACGATTAACCCTAATACCTTTAAACACATCTTCTGGCTCCTTTGAGGCCAGCCTCAACTCTATGGGAGTGGGTAAAATTTGCCTATTGTCAGTTGCTTTCTAGCTGCTCATCTTCAGGCATTAAAATGATCAAACTGTCCTTTCCAGCAAGAGCAGCTCATGGCTGTTGTGGACTGTGATCTTAACATCTTGCCTGTGGATCATTTATCACATGAGTGGTAGAAGATTGGCCAACTGTGTGCTTATAGCATAACACTGACTTTTGCCAAAGAGTGCCCATATTGAGTCAACCAGTGTATTTTGGATCTTCAGCTTTAAAGTCAAAGGCAGCAAGGCATGTGGGAGCCATGTCACTACCCCATGGTTTTGTGGCTTCAACAATGAGAATAGCCAAACAGCACAAAGTGACCTAGCAGAGTCAGAAAAAAGTCTCCCTTTTGCAGAGTAGTCTTGCTATCCCTTTGCATCTGAAAGAGTGCTTTGGGAGGTCCTACTCCTGTGAACATGCCCAAAATCTTATGCAAGTGATTGTTTGCAGATTTGCTGTGCCACAGCATTTCTGTGAAGGTGCTCATAAAGGATGAAAAGGGATGAATCTCTCCTTGTTTGTCTAAAGATTGAATGTGCATTCATCAGTGTACTGGATCTTTAATAGGCAGGCTTGTTCTAATTTCTGAGAGAATGTGGGAAGATATTTTAGTATCATGCACACCTTGCCTCTTTCCTACAGTGTTGCTAGACTTCTTGGTAGCTTGCTGACATTGCAGGTCACACTTTCTTCTTGTTCACAGGAGGAAGAAGCCAGTCAGGAAGAGCTGCACCCCCAGAGCCTAGACCAGCTGGGAAAAGAAGCAGAAAGTTGGGGAATGGAACACATACAGAGAAACAACATGAGTGGCAACTCTTCCCAGAATGGGGTCTATCACATCTTGCCCAAGTCAAGTGTGCTGGGGTCTCAGGTGCCCAAGAACTTCTAGCCAGTTATAGCAGTGCTCAACAGCCCAGTGCTCCCAGTCTGGCTACCATGGTACCAAGTCACTGTCAGTTGTTCTCCCACTATTAGGATAATCCAGAGAGCTGGACACAGACACCACTGTTGCCAGGAATTCTTAATGTGAAAAATCAGGGATGCTATTCTCCAGTGTAATGATGTATGACATCACAGAGCTAGAACTTCTGTCCCCCCTCACCTTCTCCCCTGTACCCATATGTCAGGAAGAGGTGAAATTTGGCACTAGGTGATGTATTAGGTTTCTGCCTCTGAACAGGTTGGCACAACATTGCCTATCTAGCCTTCCCCAAAAAGTAGGGAGCCCAGAATTCTGACCGTTTGTGTCCAGATAAGCATGTTGCAGCTTGTTCCCAACACACGATGGTCTGCAGGAGACAGATATGGCTGTCATGTAAAGAAAGCAGAATGTAATCACCAGTGTGAAATGGGAAGAAAAAATGTAGTTTTTTCTACCTGGTTACAGCCAGTTTTGTTCCGTTGTAGTTTGTTTCCAGATTACCTTGGTAACCCTCTCTGTACCTTAGGCTCAGGTGTTGAGGAAAGAGGTTACTGGTGCTTAACTGGATAACAATAAGATACAATAAGAGTTGACACCAGTGTAATTGGGAGGTCTGAAATATTCTAAAATGAGAAGCAGTTGGTGAAGGCCTAAGTCTGAGTGTTAGGGAACAAACTTCTAGTTATATGATTTCTAACATAGCTGTTGACACTAAGAAATCTGTCATTTATTTTCACACTCCTTAAATTGCACCTTGCAAACTAGCACCCCATTTATGAAGTTTGATGCTTCTTGTTTTTGTGAAGGAAACAAATTTGCAGTTTTGAGTGCTGACACGATTTGCATTGAAGAATATTGTGAAAATGAGTGTCAGTTTTTTTACCACATGCAAAATACTTTTTTTCCAAGCATTTTTCTGTTTGCTGAGGCTTCTCTTTTTCCTTGTAATTGGTGCAGGCTATTGCTGCTATTACAGGGCCATTGTAAATATGTTTCAAATACCTTAATGACTGATATTCTGCCACAGTTAACCCCAAATAGGGTCCAGAGGCTTAAAGCCAATAGAAATGTGAGCTGTACCAGACCACTGCTAACAGTTCTCATTTGTGCTACACTGTTTAGTGTGCTGTGCAGTGACAGGTTTAGCTGGGACCTTGTGCAGGGGCATCTTGTATTGCCACCTTTTGTAAGATGGATGTTCACTGCATTCTGGGGAAAGCCTCTTTGGCAGTACCTGAAGGGCCTCAGGATGAGCCCTGTCCTCAGATGGCCCAGGTTTCAGGGCTGCCACAGCCACAAGATGGTCTTGGTAAATTGAAGCAGACTGTCAATCAACTACAAGGGCCCGGCAGGAGCTGTGAGAAGGATCTTGTCGCCCAACCCACAGGGAGCTTAGATTTCAAACAGGAGCTGGGGAGGCAGGAACTGCAGGGTCTCATGATTCACTTCCCATCATCAGCTGGTCCTGCTGTTGGGAACAAGACTGTGAGATATTGCCATGTTTCTTCATTCCCAGTTCCACTGAATTCAGAATTGAGCAAAATGTCTTACCTTTAGCTTTTCTGGCTGAAAACAGAACAATGGTGTTGCTTACGTCCTCCTCCTCTCTGCATTGAAGCTATTATCTTGTTCAGAAGAAAACAGCCTGTCAGGAGAACTTCCTAAAATAGGCTTTTTTCCCCCTCCAAATTTTAATTAAACAGAAAATTCATATGCTAAACTGTGATTGAACAGAGGAATTATGTGCTCTATAATGGGCTCAAATAGTGCACACAGCCCTTTGTAGTCAATTCATCAGGTCTTCTGTGATTTGAAAGGCACAGAGGAAGGTTCTTATAAATTAATTTGTAAGACCTTGTTTTAGATCCTGGCTCCAGAGTAGACTACAAGTATACCAAGGCATAATTGCAAAGCAAGAAAAAAAATGGCTGCTCTTTTGAGGTGTCTGAAAGTGTCTGCCTTTTCCATGGACTCAAATTACTGGATGAAATTCTGAGTCTGTATTACTGCACAGATATCAAATGCTTGGGATGCTGATCTTTTAGGAACTAAGTCTGGCACTTTGGGAGAGATCCAAGCAGCAGTTGTCTGCTTCAGGTGGCTGAACCTGTGCTAGTAGCCAGTGTAAGATATGTTGCTGGCTGAGGCCGAGCTTCTTAACCCAGAAATAACTACTGTGAGGGTAACAGGATCCTGAAATCATGTTCTGCCAAGAAAATGAAAGTAAAACTTATGATCTGTAAAGCTTGGCTTTACAAAGCCTCAGATTTCTCACAAGGGAGAGTATTGTTTAGCTGCTCTGTTCAACAGAGAAGGTGACTCAGAACCTCCCTTTCTGCATTGCCCAGTGTTTCTTTCTGTTCCCCTTCTAAGCCAAACCCCAAGATCAGCCCCACAGATAACATCCCACTGAGGCAGGGGTGCTGCAGCCACAGCAGCACAGTGTAAGAGCCCTGCCTGTCACTAGACACCAAGATAACCTTCACCCCCTGCTCCTTTCTGCAAGGGACTCCCATAACTATCAGGGAAGGCAGGTGAAGTGCAGAGGTGTGACAGCTGAACTCAGTTCCGTGGGACAGTGACCAAGAGCATCAGACAACCAGCTCCCAAGCACTGAGTCTGTTCTTTAGGGCAGCAGCAGGAGCAAAATGGTAATGTTCACATGCAGTGTTTGTTCATGCCTGAAATTTGGGAAGCCAGTTTTCCCCTGCAAAGGAAGGACATGGGAGTCTCCACAGGCCACTGCAGCTGTGAGAGATGCCTGCCTCTCACTCTGCCTGTCTCTGGTAAAGGCAGGAGACTCTAGCCCAGTTTGCCAGAGCTCTCCCCTTCTCTCTGGCAAGGACAGCCTGGCAGCTTCCTCTCCCTTGGACTTGGGGGGCAGCAGTCAGCCTGCCATGCTGAGGAGCCCTAAACCTGCTCTGGCTGTGATCAGACAAGAACTGCAGGCTATAGTGGTCTCCCAGGTCAGCTCTTTTCCCCCTTCCTGGCAGAAAGACCACTTCCCCCTGTGGTGTGATTTTAGCAGTGCTAGTGCTTCTCAGTGTAAAACAACTTCTGTTACTGGCGTGTGCCTGCATTAATCTCATATTTCTTGTACATTTTTATGCCACTGACTGTGCCTTGTCTGTTCTTTGTGCAACTGTCAATTGTGTTTTCATGCTGGTTGAAAAATAGCATCAATACACCAAATGGTAAGTTCATACAGCTTTTTTCTTTTCAAATACGTGTTGTCAGGCCTCCCATCAGGAGCTGATATTACTTAGATGATACATGTCTGATGGGTAAAGTAAAGTATTTGTTCCTCAAAAGAAAAGGTGTGTGATTGTGTTTTAGTTCAATCTGTAGAGCGTAGCCTTCCAAACTGCACTGTACCAGCTGTGCCTTGAAGTTGTTAAAATCTTGGGGAAGAGGTTTGGAGAAGCATAAAGTCCTTTGATGAGATTCAGCAGTTATCACTGTTATTTATGTTGGCACTAGCAGTGGATGTAGTCTGAGGCCCACTCTGGCAGGTGTGTGTGCTCCTGATCCAGAGCCAAGGGGGAAGGAAAGCGTGTCCTAGCCATGATTTCACAGCACAAGTGAGGCAGAGAGAGATTCATGGATGTGTGCAGGGAAGGGCATGGCAGTGATGTCTGAGAGGAGGCTCAGGCATTGGCAATAAGCAGCCCCAACCAGCCGTGGCCATGAGCATGGGAAGCTCCTGGTTGTGTTGTGTCTCCCCAAGAACATGATGCCAATAGTCTTAACAATGAGCAAGCCTAACTTTTCACGTTTTAAAGGAACACAAAAGAAATCCCCCGACCTCCTACAAATACAGCCAAGCTTACCAGCCCGGTTCGTTTCACCAGTAGATGTCAGTCAGCACTACTCACAACCCTTTGCACCTACAGTCCCTTCTCTTCCATTTTCAATGCACAGAAACAAATCTGTCGTTTGTTTTACTGAAAGAAACTGAGATACAGAAACATTCCGTTTGTGGTGAGAGAGAAAAGACAGAAGCAGAATCCATGGATTCCGACAGGTAATTTACAATACTAGACCCTCACACTTCAGGACTTGTTGCAAGCTTTATCTATCTGGGGCAGGTTATAATTCTCCCTACAACCTGTAAAAAGGATTTGTACAGGTTTTGCTAATTTTTTTCAGTCTTGTGAAAAGCTCTTAGTGAGTGCTATTATTAGCCTGGAGCTGCTGCTAACTGGCCTTTAGCACCAAAGGTTGTTAGCTGGAGGCTGCCCTGCCCCTGTATGTTTTACAGACACACCCTAGAAGGAGTCCTACAAGAAAAAGAGCAACATTAGGGAACAACTATCAGTATTCAGAGTTTATCAGCAATAATGAAAAAGGGAGGGGAGTAGTCAGTACCTGATGATCTAGCAAATTACGAGCCCAGATGATGCGCCATCCTTTTACTGGTCACACAAACCCTAATTCCAGGTCTCCAAACATGAAAGCAAGGAGCCTAGGAATGGAGAGCAGTAAAAGTAGCAGGAACTTCAGTGAGTGCCAGGTCCCCATCTCTGGGCTCAGAGGTTAAGGGATGTGATAACGTGAATGTGCTGGGTTTTGGAGAGTCATGGCACAGTTCAGCACCTCTGGCCCTGCTCATGGCCCTTTTTTAGAGGTGGCAAATGCCAGGCGCAGCTCATTGCCAGCCAGCCATGCTGTACACATGCCAGGCACTCAGGCAGATGACAGAAGGGTGCCAGCCCCACGGGGTGTGGTGAGATAAAGCCCTGGCTGAAGAGTGCTGAAGGAGGAGTGCAAAAGTTCAGTTGACAAAACAGAGGCTGCTCAGCCTGGTCTCCAGCCTGAATCAGCCAGCTTTGCTGAGGTGTGCCATAGCAAGTTACCAAGAGAGCCCATGTGCATGGCAGTAACAGGGCTGTAGAGCACAGGATGTCCCAAACTGCTCTGGATGGTGCTGCTTCCTGGCCACTGTGTCCCCAGATGATACCAATCGA